CTGAGGCCGCCGTCTCGGTGGGCGCTGCCTCTCTTATCAGGTCTTTATGAGGGCGGTGGACCCGGCTGCACCCAGCCCCCCTCCCACTGCTCGCAGCTTGTGGGGAGGGGGCAACGTCTATATCAGCTGGCACCATATTGGAAAGCAGCCGACAAGCACCAGCCCTTATTTTGTGTCCACATGTTCATATTTCCTCCTCACATGGAGTTTCTGCTGCTCTGAATGAGTAAAACAACGAGAGTCGTTGAGACGTTTGTAATCAGTGTGGCGTGTGCTTTACATCCTGTCAGAGAACAACAGCAGGCTCACAGATCTTCTGTCCCAGCCGTGGATGTTCACACCAGTCAGGTTTCTAATAATGAGTCTGTATGTGCAGTAATCCCAGTGAACCAAAAGCTTGCCTGAAACTCAGTTTGGTCAAGTTTTCTTCTACTCATGGATCTGTGTAATGTCTGAGTAATCCTAAGGTGCACCTTAAAGGGGGAGGAGCTACAACACCTTGACAGAGGATGACCTGAGGGGCTGCAAGGCCCAGAATAATAAGGATTACTTTAAACTGCATGTTATTCTAAGGCACTATGGTCCAGTCTAATGTCAGTCCACCTATCATTACTTTGTAGCTCGCGGTTGGCCGCTAGCGGACATTCGAGGCTCTGGTTGCCGAGGTGACCATTTAACTTATTTACCACACTGCCACATATCAATCAGTGATAATAATAATGGATTGCATTTATATAGCGCTTTTCAGGACCCCTCAAAGCGCTTTACAATGCCACTATTCATTCACTCTCACATTCACACACTGGTGGAGGCAGCTACAGTTGTAGCCACAGCTGCCCTGGGGCAGACTGACAGAAGCGAGGCTGCCATGTCGCGCCATCGGCCCCTCTGGCCAACACCAGTAGGGTAAAGTGTCTTGCCCAAGGACACAACGACCAGGACAGAGAGCCCAGGGGATCGAACCGGCAACCTTCCGATTACAAGACGAACACCCCGTGATAACCTGCATCCTCATTAGGGGTCACGGTTAGAACACAAACATGGAGCTGGAAACGAGCAGAACAGGCCCACAGCTCTGTGTCCACAGTGGGAGTTTGTGTTTATATTAGCGGTTCTGAAATGTTCCTCAGTAACGAGTTAACTGATCTGTGAAATGTCCAAAAACAGTCCCATCCCTCGTTGTCACGTTGGTCACTTTAATCAGATGCATTACTTGGATAAACACAGGGATGATTAACTGATCGTTACACACCTGATAACTGATACATTTGCAGAAGATCTACTCTAAAGCCCAGAGGAGTAAAACACCAGTCCCACTGCGAGGAGAGCTCAGCGACAGCGAGGACAGCCGAGGTCAGTGCAGATGGTTAGGAGCAGAGGAATGATGACGAGAGGGAGACGTGGTGGTAAAAACGTCTTCTCTGGTGTCTCCAGGGGCGGGCTTTGACGAGGACAGCAGGAAGGCCGTAACAGCAGATGAAGACAGCAACTGCAGCGTCGGCCACAACGTTGATGCCAAACTGAGCCGAGCCTCGTCGCTGTACCGAGGCCCGACCAGCGGTCAGTACGCCGCTCCAAACACGCCGTCTGTACATGCTGAGTAATACAATAAAAACCCTAAAAGCCTACAAATCGGTGAACAACGTGTTCTTCAGGAGAAAAATAAAACCACACACTTGAAACGTACTGAAGCTCCAGCTCTGATGATTTTGTTTTCTCTGGTATCGATTAGACTTCCTGAGAGGAACCTTCCCGGTCAGCGCCTCCGGAGCGAACACGACCCGCAGAGCAGCCTTCAGGTCAGAGCGTGGACACGCCTTTCCTCTCTCCTTCAAGTAAAGCAGGACACAGCTGAACGCTGAAGTATGATGTAGTCTGAAGCAGGTTGGCTACACAGGCTAAACCCTCGAAAACTCAGGTCACACTTTTTCTGCATTCTGGTTTTTATTTATTTTCCCTCACAAATGTTCCTGTATCCGTTTGATCCTGAGGGGCCACCATAGACTGACGTATAAACTGTGACATCACTGGCTTTTAAAACCTTTACAAACTTGCTTTTAAAGTCCTACGATTTCACCAAACTGGAGCTCAGCCCTGTTAGTGCTGTAACCTCAGCAGCCATGCTGTTGGTCAGCTGATGTCATCAAAAATGCTCCAGCAGCACAAACACAGTGCCGAGGTGGGTGATGTAAAATCTCCGCCTTCACTACAGGAATAACAGATCTTATCATCATCACCAAAACTTCACCTGTTGGATGCTTCACCGTCATCCGTCACACTCAGGTCTCTGTTTCTTCCTGCAGACCCACTAAGAGCGCCTGGTCCAAACAGTCTGATGAAGACTCTGATGATGAAGAGGAGGAGGCCCCTGACAGGTCAGAGACAGCCAATCTGATTGGATCATCAAACCACTTCCTGATACATCGTCCATCATCAATGCTTTTAACTGTGAAGCACGAGGCGTATGGAGTAGATCAGATGTGGTTTGCTGCCTGTCTTACTGAGACTTGTCTCTCCCTCTCAGCTGTCTCCCACTCAGCCTGCGTACCGGCAACCTTTTGGGAACCCGCAACGACAAGATGGCTGCAGGAGCG